AAGTGATAACGACCGAAACGGTTTTAACAAATTCAATAACACGAGTTGAGACAAAACAGATGGAAATGAATGCAGTTCCCGAATACCAAGCAAACCGTATTGGATGGACTGGTCAGATTAAACCCATTAGAAATCACTATTAGAAAATATTTGTGAAGCACATGCCAACTGACTTTATTTGTTAGTTGGGACTGATAATGACTTTGAAAGTACTAATCATGAATGTTAAAGCTTGAAAAGCAACCATAAAATCATATATATGCGCAAACATCTAGACTTTTGGAGGTTCGGCAACTAGAATGAACCCAAACACAATGTATCGATAATGTGAAAACAAGCTGATTACTGAGGGTAAAAAGCATATACGTAAGTTAGTGACGATAACCAGCCAATTGTGATGAGTAGTGTGTATTCTGTCACTCGATAACACTATACCGTCTTTATACCTTAAGCAAAAGTTCCTAATCACAGACTTATGCCACCACGATAAACTTTAAAGTTGTGAAAAGATTTCTGTCAACGATAAACGTAAGAACCTCACTTAACACTGATATTGCTTGAGAACAACGGGAATGATCATCATGAACTCCCCGTATGTCTAGTGTGGTTCTCCACATACGTGATATAACAGAATGAATCAGCATGAGAGAAACCGCCACCGTCATGACGTCTTGTATGTCCACCGATCATCTATATTATACAGTCTAGGTTGAATAATACAGTGATAAGTAATCTAAACCAACCCGGAACATGTTTTTGTTAGGTCAAGCCACAGTTGTTGCCTAGGGGATCATGATACTACCCGGTTATCGAGGTAAAAGTAGCTAGAGTATTATTTGAACCCGGGACACATTGTCTGAAAGTCGAGTTTCTAAGCTAATGAACGAGCCATATCTCTGAGTTTAGCTTAGTTTGATATACAGCTGCAATATGAGGTGAAATCAAATTGTTCACCTGGACGTTTAAGAACTCTATTTATATTGACCACTGTAACACAAAGAAAAACGATATGGAACATTACAGAAAAATGCTACTAGTTTAGTAAACATACTGTGCAACAGCACCGTGAAAAGAGAAAGTCAGAAAGACTGTAGGGAAAAGAGAGGAGACAAATAGGTGATCACTATTAGGATTGGAATTTGATCATAAAAATGAACATCTCTCACTGCAGTCGATTTGAATCACATCAAATAAGCCCTCTTGTCATCGATTATTAACATGAGTAAGTATCCTAATTAGTATAACTGAACTTTCTTATGTGACCAACATCAACACTAACTTTACAGGTCAGTATTACGTTAGTTTTATTTTTACTTTCGAGTTTAATCCCCATTCCTCTAACAATTCATTCTATAACTGACTGCGTAACACACATCACCTACATTTTTCAGTGCATGTTTACATCTTTATCGAATGAATTACCAATCACAGCTAGCACGTTACGTCCAAACAACACTGCTAACTGCGTGGTTGCTTAACATGCAAAGCATATCAAAAACAAATCTATTTTCAAAAGCAAGAAACCATATCAAGGACATCTCATAACTAATAAGTAGGACAGAACATACTTGTTTATAGTATCTCCGATTGCTTTCAAGTGACATAAATAGCGTATGTCAGGGAATCTCAAAAGAACCTTTAGTATCTACGTAAATATTTCTTCAGCAAACAGTCCGTTAGGGCTAATAAGACTTTCCGAATTCGTGAAGCAACCAACAGGCTCAACAACTCCACTCTATGTTGTTAAAGCAGGTTTCAGTGCAGACCAGACCTACAGTCTACTTTTCCAGTTCAATATCTTTCCTGTCGTTAGATTTTTCTGCAAGTACCGTCACGATGTTCAATGTTTGTGTTTGTCCACATTTTTTCGCCGCAGCTGACTAGAGCAGTTCTGTAGACGATTCATATAAGCGATGTAGATCACTAAGCTTGGATTAGAACTTTCCTAGTCGGTGTTAGCGATGCACAATCTTTTCCTTGTAGGAAACATACCACATAATATGTGCAATGAATAGGCCTTACTTGCCAACGTCCTAACTGATAACTGCTACCTTAACATGGTGATCAGCTTAGTATATCACGATGACCCAACGAGCTATGTTGGTGGAACACTTGTTCTCTTGAGGTCCTATCATACCATCGATATCTGTTGGATAGTGGTTAGACAAAACGCAGTTACCTTTAAAATGCTCTTAAACAAAGAGACGACGCATTATGATAGCAAAGATCAGTCATCAGCGGTGATCCAAGACCACAGGACATATGTCCGACTGCATCTTCATAAAACAGGTTAATTTTCGTGGCATCAAAAAGGCCTTAAGTGAACGGCCTCAAGCAGATGTCCCATAGGTTCTGCCACCACGTACTAACCCTTCTTTTTCAAGTACCTCAAGAAGAACCAGTCTTTTACGGTGTGAGAGATAGGGGAGAGTCACCCACTCTCACAACTCAAGTTCACCCAGATCACTGTCCATCTTCCATATCCTTACCTTCTAATCTTCCTTCACGTCTCTCGTTCAATAATCCTACATTATCTTTAATTTCTTCTACCTTCACAGCACCTGACAGCGATCTGAGTCCACAGAACAGCATCCTTAGTCTCGTTAAATCTCACCACAAATTACACACTGAAGCTTTAAATGTTCGCACTCTCCGTCAAATTGGCCAAAACTTTAGTAACTCGGGTCATAGATATGTTGCGCATACAAGACCCAGGTCCGGTTATCCCCTAAACCCTCCCGACCAATATGGTGAATCCACAAAATTCACGCTTCAAGTTTCTGAAGATTTGATGGCTAGTTCTCGCGGTCTTACAGTTGCAAGCATAGCGTTAAGCACTAGGGCAGTGAGCTCATTACTAGACTGGATCCCAGTTGACAGTTGCTAGTGCCGCATCCGGCTGAGTGGCAAAGTGAGAATTAAAATGAATAGTGAAACTCCCCATTGTCTCTTTGTAATCCCTCCTTACGTACCCACAAACTGCGGTTCGGATGAAGTAGAGGATGAGTTCTACTAAAAACTGTCTAGCCCCGTTCTGAAAGTCGAACGGTCAGACGTGGTTGTTGCTGCAGGTGATTTCAACAAACAAGTGGGAAGGCGCTTAGGTGGCGCTTTCGGAACCTGGCTGAACGATTACCGGTTATTTCTAGCTAGCAAAAACTTCAGACATAAAGAAAGACTGTCTGACATGGCGTCCACCGAGTTCAACTCAGCGATAGACAAAGGTAGACTACATTGCTATCAGTCATCACTGGAGAGGTTTGACAGAATACTGCTGCTCCTTCTGGAGCACATGTTTGGATAGCGACCCCGTGTTGGTCCTAGCACACATGTGTCTGCAACTAAAATGACGTGTAAAAGCTTTAGGAACAAGACCATTACGAGTGCAGCTCAACAGTGAGAGCACTAAGGTCACTTTCAGTGAGAAACTGGCTCGATAGTTATCGGAACAGAACACTATCTTTCATCCCGAAGAAGCCTGGTGCAATCTCAGGTCTGCTATGAAAACAGCGTTGAAAACTGTAGCCGACTCTCAAAGAGCTAGTGGATATCAGCAGCTTCTTTTGAATTAACGGATGCACGTAAACGCATCCCTGAAGACTCTGAGTAGAATGAGGAGCACATACAACTTACATGTAAACTGACAAAAAGTCTATGCAATGACCGCGAGCAGTGGTATGCATTGAAGGCTAAAGAGGTGGAAAAGACAGAGGCCATACGTAACGGTAGACATTTATTTAGACTTATTAAGTAAACTGGGGCGAAAAGATTAACAGTTATTGAGACTATAGCGGAGAAAGATGGCTCCGGCTGCTATTGCGTTCCCATTATACAGTCAGACCCTGAATGAAACATTGATATTGGCCCCCAACACTTGTTACATCAGGGATCATGATACTACCCGGTTATCGAGGTAAAAGTAGCTAGAGTATTATTTGAACCCGGGACACATTGTCTGAAAGTCGAGTTTCTAAGCCAATGAACGAGCCATATCTCTGAGTTTAGCTTAGTTTGATATACAGCTGCAATATGAGGTGAAATCAAATTGTCCACCTAAAGGTGGTATTCGTCTTTGTCAGTCGAGAAGTCTTGTGACAATGTCTGTCACTGAAAGGGGTACTGAGCAACCACATCACCCTTTTGTAGGTTTTTTGTTCGAACACCTGTTACATTTTAGAGCATACGGTGAGATGTGCACGTCCAGTGGTGTCCGTCAAGGATGAGCACTCCCTCCATTCTTATTCAATTTCATCATAGGTATCCTTATGGGGGTCTCCCTCTTGTCATCTGACTACACAGAGGTTGACCTAATCACAGAATTTCTGGTAGATCCAGTACAGGAGGATGAAGACGCTGACAAGATGCAGTCTTTTGGACACTTTGAGTAGCTATTGGAGAATGTTTTGGATGCGTTTCTCGCCACCTAAATGCAAATTGTTGTCCCAGGATTGACCTTGACAATGTACATAGAATGTGGTGGTGAAAGCATCTTAGGTGGGTAACTTCTATCGAAACAAATTCCAGACAAAGGTTGTACGACTTGCTCAATAAAGTGTAATTTAGCCATGCTTTGTTTAGTGAAATCTCATTAGAACACAAGTTTAGGAATACACGCAAGATATGTGAGTCAACTTGGTACATTTTTACGCATTAAGTTATGTGTTACACTGTGTGACGGCTTCAGAGCTTCACTCAGACCAGAGAAGTTAGGGTGGGATTTGAATCCAGCATTTATTAGTTTTAAGCAAAATGCTTAAACCGATGAGCAACGTCGCCACGTAAAAAGGTACAACGCCAATTGCTGAAACCACGAAGTGGATGAACTATCACAAGCACAGCGAAGTAACGGAGGGCATGATCGAAAATTTCTTCAGATATTTAAATTTAGAATACACTTCATAAACTACGCTGAGAAACAATGGTTACTAGGCTTGAGAAAAGCGAAAATGGGAACACAATCTACTATGATCGCCTAATCATAATCTCTGTTAAAGTGAGTTCTAAGCAGGGGACAGAAAACAAACTTGCATTATAGAAGCACAACATATATTTTGCGTATGTGCAAGGGAATAGTACACTGGAAGTGAACAAAGAAAAGTCGGAATTACAGAGTACACAAACATAGAAATTAACCAGAGTTCCAGGCGATAGAAAAGTTGTGATATTACATACACCATACATTGCATCACTGAGTTCCCGGGATGTTTTTTTGTCAAGAATGTTCGCAAATCTTCCATTTCCTGAAATGTAATGCAGGGAGAAATAACCACTACTTTCAGTCTTACCTGTTCACATGAGGAGTGAGACAGAACAGGATAGCTGTTAAGTTCACACTTTGACAGTTGGAAAGTTTTCAACAACTCATGGGTCAACTTGCCCATAGCAAAAGGAATTGTACAATCTTGTAACCCATGGCACTGGAAAACTGGAACTTCCTTGGGCATGGTCAAGAGCTAAACATAAATAGGTAGTAGTAACGACCTACTGAGGGAGATGTCATGAACTTTGTATGAAGCGGAAGCCAACAGCTGAAAGCAATAACTCCCCCATATCGATTAGTGCCCGTTAGTGCATTATAAAGAGCTACCGAACCACCTTGTGAGAACCCTCCGATAACTATATTCCCAATAGGAATTCCAGCTTTCACTTCCTCATCAACAAATTTTCCTACTTAATTCAGAAAGTAGTATTAACAAAACCAAACAAAATATACATTCATTTGACGCTTCTTTAATCCCTGCTTCATCCTGCCTAGCATTTTCACTCAGAGCATATATGTCATACCTAGTCACTAATTGACTTATAATAACTCACAACAAACCATGCCGGCATACGCATGCCTCCATTAAGTGTAACTGCTATTGAATTCCTACAACAAATGATGATAAAATCATGTCTTACGCATGAGGACAAATTATCTTGAAATGATCTGGAACATACGACCTCAAAGCATCTGACCAGCCATGTCTAGAAGTATAAATCCGCATGAAGATAATTTACCCTGTATCACCCAATCCATGTAAGAAAATTAACTGGAAAAAAGAGGAAACTTGAGTAAGAGTAGGTCGGTTCATGTACACAAATAGAAAATGGTTATGAAAAGCAATACATCTGATAATCCGAATGGTAAGAAATTTGTATTCTTAACGTTATACCATTACAGCTAGTCCATGGTTCGTGAGTTATAGATGTGCTAATGGGCAATCCTGGATACCTGCGAATTTAAAAAGACCGACTTACTCTCAACAGGGTACTTGAATGACTTGGAGTGCGCAGACGACACTATATCGTTAGGCGAAGACGCGGACAAAATACAGGGACTACTGAACACCTCAAGCACAAATCTGAATGTTTGGTACGCTTTTCGCATCCGTAAAATGCAAGATAGTGATTCAGGACATGCTTGCAGCTATTCTTAGTTCAAAGATAGGAAGTGAAGTGGCCAAAGCATCTGATCACTATTTACTTAAGGAGCAGCAGCAGTCCAAAAGGGTTGGTTACTGACGAATTCGAATCCCCGATACATAAGACCCATTTGCGTCATCTTAGGCACCAGTAAGATATCCAACTACCTAAAGATGAACGAGTACACTGAGTCATAGTTCGCCGAGCCTCGTTACACGGCACGGGCAAGCGTCGAAAAACGATGATATGAAGAGATTACAGGCTTTTGACCATAGATGTTCTGGCAGCATTGCTCACGCAAAGTGGAATCACCATGTGAGTGATGTGGTTAGGCAAAATGTACTTGGCATGGAAGGGTGAAGTTGTGAACCTGTGTCGGCTGATGCGGCTCAAACACGTGTAGCATATACTGTGATGCAACTGCATATTTACCTCGACGTCCAATGTTAACCGAAGTTGAGTCAGGTCAGAAAAAAATTCAGGATGGTCAGAACAAGACGTGGCACAAACCCAGGAAGTCTCTGACTCTTGATCTTAGTCGTATGGGGTGTAGACTGCCAGGTTTGGGTACCGGAGATAATATGAATGAATGGCTGGAGATTGTTAGTGACATGGCTGGAAATCGGTCAAATGCATTCACTTTTTGACGTCTTCCAGAACTTAGGCATTTTCACTAGCCTTTATGATCACATCGTTTCTCATTCCATAATTCGTCTTCTTTAATATCAGTCCTTTTCTACTCACGTTATTTGGATGCTACTGTGATGTAAGAACTCGAAGCTATGCACTTCTGTGTGACGTTCAGGCTGATTTTTTCAATGTCTGTCATTTACGACCAAATCAATTAGTGGGTGAGTTTCGGACATTTCATCTCATCACTCAAACCTCCAATCAATGTACTCAGCTATCTCACGGAAGACTTAACAGTTATCTACAAGGCTCAAATGAACGATTAGACTGTGAATTGGTACTCTCCATGTGTTCAAACCCTGCTCCACTTACCGTGGGCTCGACACCCAGGTAGTATCATTGACCCTCACAATGTGTGGCTTACTAGAGATTATAAAAGGAAAAAGACTGAGACAATCAAGACCAGGATCCTACCAGATAGTGGGATACAGCAGTGAGGAGGCCAGATGAGCTGTTTCTCAAAGTGTTTCCGCCATTATTCCAGTCGCTCCTGTGCGTAAATCGTAGGCCCATACTCTAGTATGGTCTCACAAACCACTGACGTTTTGGCGTGTTCCCTTGATCAGTTTAAATGACTGTTGTTCCCTATCGCCGTAGTCTTTTCCACCTCTACAGTCTTCACTGCCCACTCCTGTTCGCCGTCACTGCACACACAGTTTGTCAGTGAAGATTTGAGTTGCGTCCGCTCCTTGTTATGCTCTAAGCCTGGAGGTATGTATTCAAGAGCACCCATCAACTTAGAAGCTGGTAAGACCCACGGACTCTTTCTGATCTTTGTGTGTCAGGAGTCTCTAAAGCTCGTTCTATGATGGACTGAAGATAGTGAGAAGCTTTGAAAAGATGGAAAAGATTTGTAGCATAAGATGAGGATGATGATGATATATTCACCATGCCCAGTGACGAAACATTCACCACAAAATATCAAAGTTCAGAGGACACCAAATATCCTCAGCAATAGGCTTTTGGGGATGCGTGACGTAATCCTTCTCCGGTAACTGTTTAGCGACCTCTGTATCGGTAACTGCCAGAGTATTCTTGTCATCGCGCTGTGCTCCAAACGGTTTTGCAGCTCCAATTTGGGTGATGAGATACGCGTGCTCGAGCCAACACGTGCTTTAAGAAGAGTAGTGATTTTTCAGTGACACTCCAACGATAACTGACGGTCCGCCTGTGAATACAGTTGAGATGAAATCGGTGAAGCCATTCGGGGTAATGTCTTCCTTCATGTATGATTTTCGCTCTGGCAAGTGTGGGGTTGTCAAAGCAAGGTTGAACTAGGCGATCGCCGCTGTTTGTTTGACTAGGATTCCGAAAGTGACGCCTAAGTGCCTTTCTGTCTGGCTGAATCTACACACTTGTGCAAGGAAATCATCTAGTGTGACAGCCACATATCGAATAAAGAATCCTACTGATTCGGTACATAAGTTAACTGAGACTACGTGAATAACCATAGTTAGGTACTCATATAAACACAGCACATGTTCACACTAGAGATGCCATAGTTTTGGCTAGCAAAGCCTGTTGGTTGATTTGACAGAGGGTGCAGACATTGATGGCTCTGAAGTGTAGTCGCAAATGTGGTTTTAGGACACCTGAGATGCTGTTGCATAAAGTCAAGTGGTTATTGATAGCTGCAGAGCTTGAGGATGTAGGAATATTAACTGAGAGAACTGACGAAGGTTTGGACGACAAAGAGGTGGAATGTTGACAATGGCGAGGGAAATTCAGTGCGGTTGACACTACTTGGATGTCCATACCATGAAGGATTATTCCTTCTTAAGCTACCTTAAAAAGAAACTGCATTGGTAATAGTGGTGCATGACCGAAGAGACCATGGAATATCTACTCGAGGCTCTACATATATGGGCTTCTAATATCGCCTAAAATTCAACTAGGAAATTAATACTGCTGGCACCAGAAAACCATAGTGTACTGTTTTGTGGCTCACGTTTTCTAACCTTATTCCGACAAAGAAAGCAGCACAAGTACACTGTTAGTTACTTAATGGAATTTTCTTTCGCACCTTTTACAGACAGCAGCAGTACGATTTACCTCTCGAACCCTATAGCTGGTGAGCTATTTACATCGTAACAGCTATTGTTTTACGTTTTCTCACAATCTAACAGGTATTTCTAGAATGGTGGGACCACAAGGAACCGGTGTTTTTACCAGCACAGCTCGTTGAGTGATTGTGATATGCAAATCTCACCATCAAGGTAGAAGCTATCTGTCGAGCAAACAGATGTGTCGAAAAGAACCCAGCACAGAAGTTCATCGGTTCAACAGAAATAGACGAAATTAGATGGAAATGAATAAAGTAAACATCTTTGATAGACACCACTAAACGTATACAACTCATCTAGTAGCTCACCGTTTACTTGTATACAAACAGTGGTGTTCGAGCATAAAACTACCACTAGATTGAGCTACTTACCAGGTGCCCTTCTCAGTAAAAAAAACTCATGAGATCTCTTGGTCGGATAAAGCTAGTGCCCAGTAGGTATCCCCCGTTCAATATCTGGTTGATACATCCACAGGCAGATTAAGAGCATGCTCCAGTAAGGCATAGAAGGATTACACATGCACAAATTTGAGTAAACTGTGAAAAATAAGGATTAGTGCATCGTTAACAAGGTGATACTTAATAATAATCTTGGACGGTGTATCCAGTTAACCTGACCTTGTGAGTTCCCGGTATCATTAGGAGTGCAATAAACCCAAAAAAACTGTGTGGTCTCCTTTCACTAACGAATCTGCTTTTCCCTGGGATTACGTCTAACCTTAGGACTGTCTACTCGATGTCTTTGCCGTGGGAAAAATGCGTCAAAATATTTGGAACCAAGTTGTCACACAATGTTCTAACCGTAAAATAGAAAAAGTTAACCTACTCTGAATAACTACTGAACACCACACATTTTTGGGAAGGATCAAACGACAGAGTTTATTTACAGACATGTTGGGCTCACCCAAATGAAACACGAAATCGAAATCTGATTACGCTTAAATAAGCTGAGAGCTGTTGTTCTCATTCATCATATGAACGATAAGTTCACACATTGTCAATAAAATGTACTCAATACATGGATGTTCATTTAGTATCTGAATATCGCTGTTAAAGTAGTAAAAATTCGAAAGTGTAGTTCTCAGTGTAACTCAGGAGAAAGTGCGTACCGTTAATCACATTACACGACCTTTCAGACTTACCTAATTATCACAGATAGTGATATTTCAAGTATTTGAAGTCTTACTTCCCAAACGTTAAAAAGTTTGGTATATGTTAGGTAGCTTTTTTTAAGTCTAGAGGATACGAGGATGGGTGTTACAAAGGTCCGAATTTCTAAACTAGAAACAGAAAACTTGTGAAGTATGCAGATCCTTTTACAAAAGACCCCCAGAGCTTGTCATATGCTATCTGAAACTATCCAAACAGCAAAGAATGTTACAGAAGCTCGTCGAAAACGTACTAAAAACAAACAGGTCTTCCTGTTCTCACCCGTAAGCTAGGTTTTCATATATATGAGCTGAAGAACACAGATACTGTGGAAGAGTGCAATCCCAATATATGTCATATATGTACCACATAGTCAAGCAGTACTATTTACTGTCATTTCGAGTAGTATTTGGCGTTCATAATAATATCAAGGTATTCACATAATTTCCTGGTTGAATTTCATAACACTGATGTTTTTCATTCCGGTTTAATAGGTAGTAAAACGACTGATATGTGTTCATCTCGTGTACCACCACAAGCTTATTACATGTCCAAGGTGCCTATCTGATAACAATTCATCAGAAACGATCTAACGCCAAATCCGAATTTGTGGAAAACTTTACTGCCCATTAAACCAAAGAATGAAAAGTAATAAACTATGCAAACAAACCAAGAAGTTAATGAATACCCCCATATGATTGCGGGCAGCAAATCCAGCTTAATAAAGTCATCAGTACATAATACTTTTTTTACTGTATATATGTATCACGTGATACATATATAAAAAGAACCATAATGGAAGTCAGATTTTCACATTTGATATCAGATATCACTGTTAACCAAAATAACTGCTTCAAAATCGCCGTTCAAAAACTCCCATAATCTGAACTCACTGAATGCAATTTGCTCAAGCACACAACACCCATTTTCCCGTAACAACAATTTACGAGAATACCCTGATATCATTCAACGTCTGGCACCAATTACTCACCGTGGCAGTGTGCCTTGAGCGGGAAGACACAACAGCAGCAGGCAGCAGCTTATTTGACATACTATCCTCTGTAATACAACTAATACTACTTCCCATAAAACATTAATATACGGAGGGGCAAACCAGTTAGGGAAGTATTCCCGCCACAAGCGCTACCTAGTAAAACATGCAAAACGACCTTGAAACAAACTTTCGTCCCATCTCCCATGTTACTCCGAATGATAAATGCCTTGAGAATGTATAAATCACGTATCAATCTTGATTTGTAAGCAATCAAAATGTAGGGTTCAAAGACCTGCTAAGGACGATTTTGTACATGTGCGAATAGGTTTTCTCAGGAAGAAGTTTGACAATACGACAGTAAAAATCTGTTGATTACAGCAGGTAGAAAGTTTTTGATCGACTGGGCATGGGTATTAATCCATCTACTGAAATGACCAGTGCCATTATTGCAGACTGGTCTTAACCGGCGAACTTCCAGCCATCATTTTTTTCCCTAAGTTTAAAAAAGGTCTTTGCGTCACAGGAATAGATAATTGCAAGTTCCCCGACTGCTGACTTTTCAAATTCGATTGAAATTTCCGGTGCGAAACTCTGTTGGTGTTTGCTTTTCACTGGTCTTAAAATGGTTCAAAAGGGGAACTAGCAGTGGTAAATGATCGTGGTTGGCGTTGGCTGTGATTTGGTGACGCACACTACAGATACTCCTTTCGTGGCGGAAAATTATTTCTGTCTTCACGCAGGCTAACAGCTTCAAAGTCAGAGTCCGTAGCTTCATTCACTCTGATTAGTGAGGCTTCCAAATCTTTTCCCTAGGTCACTTCTACAATCATGCTGCCAACTGGACTTCCGTCTATGAAAGTTTCAATTTACTGGGGATTCCATTCCACTTGATCTTCATTATAAACCACTCGTCTGGATTATCGAGTTATCATCTAGATGCCAACTAAGAGTTATGGCAATTTTGATCTGGCACCGGTGATCTACATGTGTTGTAAAGTCACACACTTCTCCAGAATCAATGGCTCAGGGTCTGACGAGGTCCAACGTTGATGCCGACCTCGATAGTTTTACCTGACTCGCCAAGCAGAAGACACCCGGCCAAGCATCCTCGCCATTCGGCACGCTGTCGTGTCACGTTGCACTGCTCGTAATCGACCCTCTATGCGGCTAGTTAGAACGCACCGGTGTCTTGGCACGACCTTGCAAACGTACTATTCCATCCGACTTCGCTGTTGTGTTCTTTCTTTGTCTCGTATTCGTGGGTATATAACAAGTTCGAATAGTTGGTGATTGGCTTCTGCGTCTATCAAGTTCGCACCAGGACAATTTTTTAAATTGGTAGGCCCGACGTGATAACAAATCCCAACTGAGAGCAAATCTTAAATTGGTGAGCCCGTTCCATTTTTCTTAAGCTGCATATTGTTTTCATTTTGATAACCTTTATATGTCCATATACAACTCTTTTCCATGCCCGACCATACTCCGAAGCCCCATGTTTCTGGATACAAATTAAGGGAAAGCAACCTGAATTTCGCCAGCTAACGAAACACCTGAAGACAAATTTCTAAGGCGTTATGCCGCATGATAAACCAGTAAACCAGAATTCGTCGAGCGTCTTTGTGTGGTCGGCTTTCTGCTGAGTGTTCCTCCACCGCATTCAGTATCTGACGTGGGGAACTCCTACCCTCGGTAGGTGTTATCATTATTATTAGTAGTATAGAGGCCATAACCTCGCCTCGTTAGCTAGTTCACTAGTTACTAGCCCATCCCAAGTCCGGCTAAGAGGGAGGGTCGGGCATAGAGCTAGAAACCCTTCCTCGGAAAACCAATCAGACCTCTGGAGAAACTTCAAACCACAAACAAAATATAAAGGACAAAAACAAACTTATTCCCCACTGGAATCAGGGAGACGAAATGACGCCAGTGGGAACCAATCTCTTCTAGGATCATGACAGGAAGGCTCAACTCAAAAGGAAGGAAAGTCACAATCGTACAATCCTACACACCTACAGATAATGCAGATGAAGAGAAGAGAGAGGAATTTCACAGACAACTGCAATCAGTACTGGACAATACCACACCCCAGTCGGCGACATCAAAATTCTAACGGGCGACATGAATGCCAGACTGGGAGTGGACAACACTGGAAGAGAACTAACCATGGGTCGAGAAGCGCTAGGTGAAATGATGAATGAGAACGCAGAACTGTTTGCAGAATTCTGTGCACTCAACGATTTGGTCATTGGAGGCAGTGTGTTCAGGCACAAAGATATCCACAAAGCGACATGGATTTCACCAGACACCGGGACACACTAAGAATCAGATCGACTTCATTTCAATATCATGAAAGTGGAGACAGCATACTTGACAAAAGGTCAAGAAGGGGAGCAGATGTAGGTTCACACCACTCACTATCTAGTACAAGGAACCTTCAAATCTAACTGGAAGCCTTCAAGGAAGCTGGTGATAGACCACAGTTTAAGTACAACACTCGGAAACTGAAGGAAGAAACTACAAAGGAGATCTTCACGGCAGCCATCAAGATAAAATGGGAGATATCGAGCAGCATCCCTAAGAAACCTGAGTGGAAGAACATGGAAGTCTTTGAAAGAGATTTGGAAAGAAACCTGCACAGCCGTATTAGAAAGGAAGAAGAAAGAAGACATGACAAGGAATGGATCTCGACGGACACATGGAAGCTGATAGAGCAGGCAGAGGAGGATGGTGAAGCAGAAGATGAACCAGTGCAAGGATGCTTGAAGAGAGGAGGAAGTGAGTACAAAACATAAAACACTGGACAAAGAAGTGAAGAAGAGTGCACTCAAAGACAAAGGACGCTTCCACGACATATTGGCAAGTGAAGCAGAACAGGCTGCAGGTAGGAGAGACGGAGACCTGACAACATTGTATCAAATAACCAGGTTAAGATCTGAGAGGCGAGAGATCAACACAGATGAAACCAATAAGAGATGATGAAAGAAATTTGATTACCAAAGAAGAGAAACAAAGGAAACGATGGGCCGACCACTTGAAGAAGCTCTTAAATCGACGACCACCTGCGCTTCTTCCAGAAATACCACCTACAGCTGCTGAACTACAAGTGAACATAAATCCTTCAACAAAGTTGGGATTCCTGAGCGCCAGAAAGCTACTGAAATGTGGGAAGGCAGCAGGACCAGATGGGATACCACCAGAAGCACTGAAAACAGACACAGACACAACAGTGGACATGCTCACACCACACTACTACTGCAGAAGGTCTGGAAGGAAGGGAAGGTACCTGGCTAGTGATTGGAAGAAGGGCTACCTTGTCAAACTCCCAAAGAAGGGAGACCTGAGTCTTTGCAGGAACTGGCGAGGAATAGTGCTGATGTGCACCACAGCAAAATATCATGCCGCATCATACTGGAGAAACTGAGGGATGCTCTGGATTCAAAATTATGACTGGACCAGGCTGGCTGGCTTCAGGAAGTACAAATCATGAGCGGACCAAATTGCAACGCTTCGCATCATCATAGAACAGAGTATAGAATGGCAGTCAACTCTCTATCTCAACTTCATCAACTTTGAAAAGGCCTTCGACAGCGTCGACCGACAAGTAGTTTGGCAGTTGCTTCAACACTACAGTTTTAGTGCCACAAACCTTCATCGACTTCATTCAACAACTATGTGAGGAAACCACTTGCCAGCCAAGTAATTCACAATGGGAAGCTCAGTGATGCTTTTGAAGTGAAGACAGGGGTGAAACAAAGCTGTCTACTATCACCCATGATATTCTTGATTGTAGTCGACTGGATCATGCAACAAACAGTGGGGAGCGAGAAGAGGAGGATACGCTAGATCAAGGAAATGAACTTGGAAGACTTGGATTTCGCCGCTGACTTGTGTCTGATGTCGCACAAACTCGAAGATCTAAGGCGAAAACTTGCACGTTTTAAGAAGAGGCAGCGAAGACGGGACTTTAAATGAATATAGGGAAGACAGAGGTGATGAAGATACCCAAACAACAACAACAACAACAAACTCCAATCACCATCAACGGGAGAAACTTAAAGGAAGTAGCCTCTTCCACCTATCTGGGAAGCACTGTTTCAACTACAGTTGGCACAGGCACAGACGAGGATGTCAGAGTCAGAATCGGAAAAGCAAGACAGGTGTACATTAGCTTGAAACCAGTGTGGAGGTCTACTGCACTGCACTCAGTATGTGGAACAAGATCCAGATTTTCAACACCAACGTCAAATCAGTGCTTCTGTATGGTTCAGAGACTTGGCGCGTTACGAAAGGCATTTCCAATAAACTGTAGATATTCATCAACAACTGCCTACTCTCGCCATTAAGGCTTAGATGTCCAAAAAGAACAAGCAACAAGGAGCCCTGGCGACGAACCATCCAAGAACCTGTGGCTCAACAAACATGCAGAAGGAAGTGGAGATGGATTGGGCATGCAATGAGACCATTCGGGGACATCACGCGCCAGGCACTCGAGTGGAACCTAAATGGGGAGCGGCGGGTTGGGAGTCCGAGGGTGACGTGCAGGGGATCACTTGAGGAAGAAATGAAAGTCATGGAGCCAGGATAAAAAGAGTGCAGAGAAGAGAATGAAATGATGACATGCTACTGAAGCCCTATGTTCCATTAGGAACCCAAGGGACAAATAATAGTAGTGATAATAGAAGCCATAGAAACTTAAATTGTCACTAGGTTCAAAGTGATGTGCAGCCAACAGCTTATAGGGTTCTGAGTCATCCTGAAGGACAGAAGGAAGCGAGGCACAGGTCTTTTGGCGGCAAACGTTTTGACCATGGGACAGAACTGGAGAGGAGAAAATTACCAGGAAGATGCAAACATTTTAGGATATTTGGCTGACGAAATAGACTTTACGCCTCGGTTTTTTCTTCGCACTTATGTAGTGGTGTGATGACAACTTAACTGCAGTTGATCTTGAGAGAAATTGCCAGACGCAAATTGTTCATACTTGGCATGTGTCCACAACGTTACGCAAAAGACTGCCAGGTAGCGTGGATGCCTAACCGTATACCTTCAGCCTAACAATTCCATTGAAAAGTCGAAGATCACCATCAGTGCCATCT